AACACTTGATGAGCCAATCTGTCTGGATCTGGTAAAGGTGTTGATTGTCCATCCCTGTTGTTGAGTGCATTCCTAGCTTTAACCAACTCATAAACCGCTGTGAAGATTATCATCTTGAGGTACCATTTGTCTCCTTCTTCCCAAGAAGTCCGCGGACATACTGACCATTGGATTATATAAGCTAGCTGCGCCAGGGCTCGTTACGGACAGATGGCGGAGAGGTCTAACGCGCTGTGTTCAGGTTTTCATATCGCCTCGCAGTCTCCTAGGAGGCGTGGGTTCGAATCCCACTCTGTTCAGGCTTTTTTTTCCTGGCGCTTTTTTGTCCCCTAAAACAGTCGAGTACGTCGAGTACGATTTTTTTTTATCTACGAGTTGCTTCATTGCATTGCAACGATCTAGACAAGCAACTAATCAACCAGAACTTGCAGCCGCGTCGTTAGTTCACCCGGCACTTGACTTGGTCCTTCTGCAGCTAAGCAGAGTTCTCATGTCTCAATCCATCATCTTCTTGGGTCTGCACGCCGTTCTCGGTGTCCGTGCATAGACTCATCTCGCAACAAAAGCTATGGCGTCGTTATGTGCAGGGGAGAAGGCACAATTGCAAGATTGCATGCTAGCATGGCGTGACAGTATGGAACAAGATCAAAAGAAGCCTTTCAGTGCTTTCATTGTTACAACAACACCCAACCACGAAAGCTTTACAGAGATTCAGTCGCTGTGACCCAAATCTCAGCCGCGACATTGATATCCAGAACTGTTCTCGCTGTCTGATCACCCAGCAGTAAGATTCTGGTACCTCCAACTCGATACGGGCCAGCCTCTGCTGGCGCAAAGTATTTGATCTCGAACGAGCGCTCGTCTTGGACGTCAGGCAGCATGATCGTCGACGAGCCAACAACGTCCACTCCTCTCGATGGTTTTGGTCCATCGATCGACATGTTGTGCGCTGATGGCGTTGTATTCGGCAGAGACGGATCATTTGAGGTAACTCCGCCCGAGACGTAATGCCAGTTGATATGTTGAACGGCCAGCTGGACCGATCTGGGTGCTCCGGTCGATCTGACGCGAACCCGGTACCGAATCGTGAATACAGATTCGACGACAATTTTGGGAGGCTCGACCGAAACGACCGCAAGGTCGAAAGCGAACCCGTTCGCGCTGTCGACAACGTTGACTGGCTGCTCAGCAGGTGCAACTCGACGGGGTGATTGGAAAGGCGCAGGAGTCAACATGGCAGCTTGTAGATCTCCGGCTACTTGCCGAGGTGGCGCAATTGGCAATGCTGGCAGGGCAAGTTGCGGCGGCCGCTCAGGAACCCGTCGACCGAGCATTGAAGTCTGCAATCGACCCAGTTCTCCATGAGGTGTTCGCCAGACGAGTTCCTGAAGCGAACAGGTCAGCGATGGTCTACACATTACTGATAAGAAGCCTCACTAAACGACCCAGCTCTTGCGACGAGCCCGGCGGTGGCGTGTGGACATCTGGCCCGCTTGTCAACACAAACACTAATTGGCGAACGGCACCAGGTGACAGCAAAGAGCTCGTTTGTTCGAAAATGCTTTCGTTGACGTCTCGAACAGTCATGCCCGGCACTGAGTCGAATCTCATCCGTTCAAAAATCATGGCCGTCTCGCACTGGTTTTGGACTTGCACCTCGAGGAAGATTTTGTCACGCTCACCGGCGCGCAAAACAGCATTTGCAACGTTGATGTTGGGTGAGTGTGCTTTTGTCCTGACGCTGAGAGGGTTCGACACCTGCGCAACGGAGAGTCAGTCATTTATTCGCTTTGCGAATCACGCGACTTCAAGTCTACCTGAAACTTGTAGACCTGCACGCGAGAAGAAGGAGTGAGACGAGGTCAGCATGTAAGTATGAATGTGACTGGTCAAGTCGCGCGGACTCGCCTTTCTGAAGCTTCGATTGACCATCCTCAGTTGACTCGACTCGTCGACAATCTGCGCCGCGTAGGTGACAGTGCACACGAGCGCATGCATACCCAGCTCCTTGATCTCGTGCGATACAAGGGCTTCGACGCTCTCACCAGGTCTCAGAGCGTCATTAGGAGCTTGCACTGTCGCGAGGTGATGCTTCAATCCTCCCAACTGTGGTTGCTGAGCTTGGGCAGGCGCTTGAGGTCCGGCTGGTTGCTGTGCAGGTGTTCCAGTGTTCATCTCGACTTTCATCGTCAATGCCGTCGCTGTTGCTGTGGGTTCTGGCGGTCTGGCCAGGTCATTCGACAGTGACAACAGCGCCGAGAACGTTTCACTGCGTGCACACGTCTTGTCAGCGACGCTCGAAGTAGTGATCCGAAGAAGTCATCCGAAAGATACACACCCGAGGTAGATGGTGCCAAACGTGCTCGGCAACATGAGAGCGCCAGTGATGTGGCCAAGCGAGTCGTGCCGTTCATCAAGACTATTGTCGTCGATCTGTTGCAGCGCACGGCTGACCATAGAAGAGTCTTCATAGTATATTTTCGTGTTTGCTTGCACTAGTGATGGCTTGGCCGCACGTAGGACCTTCAGCGCGACGAGGTGAGGCTCTCGCGCGCCTTGTCCTGGTGCAGGTGGCGGCGGCTGAACACCTACACCAGCCATGTGATTCGTTCCAGCTCGCTGGCGACTTGTGGAGCTGTTCGATACGTTCAACGCGACAAAGGGCTGAAATGACGCTTTGACGACGGCGATCGCCAAGTCGCGCCTCGCGAATGTCGCGCGCGGAAGTTGAGTGGGGCCGACATATGATCCGATGGGTTTCGTTCCTGCAGTCCGGGTGCAAGCTGATCCAGACAGGCGACCAGCATGACACAACTCAGACACACATCATGTGGCAACGGAACGACCATCGATCAATGTCCAGACGAGCTCTTGCTGCAAATCTTGGGCTGGGTCGCGATATCTTCCTGCTCCAGCGGTCGCTCCAAAACACGTGAAATCGACTCAGACTCGGCACAGACGCGAGCGAATCTTCGCCTCGTATGCAAGAGATGGTTCTGGGCACTCGGGCACGAGCGAACAGCCACAGTCAACTCGACAAGTGCCGCCAGATTGATTGAAGCCTGGTCAACCTCGAGCGGCAGGCAGTCTCGTCGACTTAGAAGCATGCGCATCGACTTTGAGGGAAGTCACGAACTATGGAGGGAGATTGGTCAACTCGTTCGACTGGCACCGCACCTCGAACATTTGGCTCTGCACTGTTCTCTGCCACAAGAGGCTTCGCTGTGGCTTGGACCAATCGATTGGACGAGACTGAGAGCATTCGAGTGCGCCGACCTCGATTACTCGTACCTCGAGCCGCAAGTCCAGCTACTGTCCTACTCACAGTGTATTTAGGCGTGCGTCAGTCTCGCTGACTCTGCCGCGCAATCGACAGGCTGCTCGTGTCTGAAACCCCACTCGACGACATACGTATAGGCCGGATCACGGGCATACCTTCGCGCTTGCCCGGGTTCCGAGCGCGACTCTACAAGCTAGAGCTGAACGTGCGCTGTAACAGAACGCTCAACCTGTTGCAACACCTCGTCGCAAGCTCACGCAAAACTTTGAGACATCTCAACTTGACTGCGTCGGCAAATGTCTGCGAGTCAGCGCAACACTTGACCATCTCGGAAGCGCTCGATCTCGTTGCCGAATCATTACAGACATTCAAATACTCGACGCCAGGCTCGCAAAGCCAGTTCGCCACACTCTCAATCGACGACATCTTGCCCGCCATGCGTAGCGTCGTCGTGCTCAGTCCAGGCGAGTTCGGACGTGCATTTGACGCCGACTTGTCATCATTTTTGCTGCGCATGTCGACGCCTTCGCTTCGTTGCCTGCTGCTCAGTTGGGACTACAAGAGAGCGAGGGCCGGCCTCGATTGGCAGTGGTCAGACCTATTGGACGCACTCGAGCGACGTCAAGCTCGACTAGCGTCTTCGACAACAAAAGCAACCCTCATTGTTGAAATCATGGTCAGAGGTGTGTTGCATGACTACGATAAGACGCAAAAATTAGCCAAGTCGGCGCTGGCGACAAGGTCGTCTCATTTGATGCATGGTGTCGAGATCAGATTGAGATATTGGGCCGATCAAGCATTCGCGGTATTTCCAGAGATGTCTTGTAGATAATGCATGCTCGAGAAAAGGTGTAGATGCATCGCGACAGGCCGAGGGTGGCAAAAAATAAAATAAAAAATTCGGGCCGCGGACCGAGGTCGATGGATTTGACGGGCCCGCCGGGCTTAGAGCCACGACGTGCGTACGTACGGCGCTACTGGGGAGAGTTGACTTTCGTCCTTCTGATTTTCGTACTCGCCAAGATTCGCTCGGCAAGCTGGGTTTCGCTCTCGTCCAAGGCGAACACCAAAAAGTCCCGTGAGCACGGCACGCACGCCCAGACGCGGCTTCATCACGCGACGCGGCACGGCGTCGGCCGAGGGTGCTTGGGGCCATTCTCCCTCACCAGAGTGCTTTTTTCCCGAAATTGAGACACCATCAGCAACCAAGGAACGCGAAATGTCCGCTCGGATTTGACCTTGGCGATTGTCACGATCGCGTGACCCTGTATACAGGGTCCCTTATCGCTCGCTTATTGCAGATCTTGGTCGACCGACACCTCCTTGCGCGCACTGGGGACTGATTGGTCTATCGTTCGGGTTTGCACACACAATTCTTTCCGGCTGTATACCATGTATGAAATTGTGCTCGTGGGAATGACTAGGTCGCCCAAATTTCTGATGAAATACAGCGCATGAAGAAGGGTTCGGGTCAGCGACTCTGGCTGCACCCGTGTTTTGTATTATTATCGTGAAAGTGGTCGGCTCGTCGACACCGACGTGCACACTGAGCTCGCGTCCGAAGATGCCGAACGAGTGGTATGTTATGGCTATTTTCGTTTCGGCATGACGTATTATATTTAACCATCGACCTTCTGGGGCAAACTCCACACTTTGACTGTGCGAAAACGCGCAGTGCAAACATGCCAACCTGCTGACTACTAGTATACTGTGTTGCACAGACAACTTGGAGTGGGGCCGAGTGTTTCTGTATTAACATGGAAAAACCTCAAGTAAAACCTGGCGTGCATTTGACGAAGGCGTCACGAACCGTGCGAGCTGGTCAGCGGGCCTTTCGCGCCCGAAGAGCGTTCGACCGAGACAGCGGGACGAAATACCGAGCAGCACAAAATCAGGTGAGGTGCCCCTCAAATGATGTGCTGTCGCTCGAGCTCGAGAGCTCCGCGAACTAAAATCAAGTTGACCAAAAGCGAGGGATGAGGCGGCTGCCGAGGCCGTGTCTGTGCGCGTTCGGTGTTC